TGTTCACAAGCTGCTTCCTAAAGGTGGTCAACCTTGGTGGTGCACATCTGTGATTCCCAGAACTCTGGAGGCACAAACAGCAAGATCAGAAATTCAAGGTCATCTTTGGCTACATAGTGAGTTCTAGACTAGCCTGGGATACATGAAAGTCTGTCTCAACTAAACAAACAAATATCCCATAGCAAACTTTTTCTGAAAGGGTCTTATGGGCAAGATTTTGAGCCTTGTGGACCATACAGGCTCTGGCATATCAACTCAATTCCATGTACAGGTGGTGTAAAAATAACCATGGCCAGTACTGAAGCACATCAGAACAGATGTGTGCCAAGTAAATGTTCTTCGCAGAAGCAGCCAGAACCAGAGTTGCAGGGCTGAGTTGTCAAGCCCGAGTTTGCCAACCCCTGCTTTTGTGCAAAGATGGCACACATTCTCAGGCTTCTTTCTCAGCATCTCAGAAAACCTCCCTGGAAGGTAGAGGGGCAAGCAGAGGTCCCCTGGCTCCCATAAGCACTTTTCTCCAACAATCCTCAGCTGAATCCCATGATGTCATTCGGAAATGCAGTGGGTCGCTGACAGGGTCAGATTACTCAGAGGAAAACAGGATGTTTGACACCTAAAACATTCAGAACAAGCCAGAGCTCATCTCTGGGGGGAAAACCCCTCTTATATAATGGGAAACAAGCAGGGAAAGGGAGACTTCAGTAACAGAAGCCTGAAAGGGGCAACCACTCACAGCGAAGGGATGCTGGCTTGAGCTCAGATGGTGGCCTGCTGCTCACAGAGAACATTTCTGCTTGCAGCTGTCACTTCAGTGGACAGATGACTTCATTTCAGTTCCCCCCAAATAGAGGGACAATAATCTCTCGCTTGGGAGAAATACCATATGGTAGCTGCTTTGAAAAGTTGTAAGAGAAATACAAAGTACTTAGGAGGAAAAACCACTTCCCAACGCATGAAATTTGTGTAGAAAAGGATCAAGCAGCTTCTTTGAAACACCATAGCTTCCTAGAAAACGGAACCTAAAGCAGTGGGATTGGATGACAAGCAGGATATTATCAAGGCAGAGCACCAGGGGGATCTCCTTTCTTGTGTTTACATACCTTTTGTGCAGCGCAAATCCAAAGCCCTCATTCCCCAAACTCTCCCAAGACCTGCCGCCTCTGCCTCAGTCTCAACAGCCACCACTCTACCTTCAAACTCAGGTCTATTAGCTCCCAGACACACTTGCTGTTCTAGAAAGCCCCCTTCTGGATGCTTCCTGGCTTCCTCAAGTGTGGTCAGCACCCCTCTTCTGGAACACCTTGGGAATCTTGCTATATTTCTTCAGCTGAATTTGCCATGCCATTTATTTAACACTGTGTCTTATTGCCTCCACTGGTCTGTGACAGCCTTGCCTTCTGACCTATCCCTGTAAGGATTTTTATGATTTATTTATCATCATCAGCTCTACCTGTAGGTTGGTTTCATGGGATGGTGGAGACTTTGAAAAGGGACAGATACTGTCTCTGTTGCATCCGCTGTTGTAGCTCTGACATAGTACCAGACTTGGCATTTAGCAGGCATTCGATGAGTATCTGTTGAATGAGTGAGTGAAGGCATGCCATAAGGTCTGAGTAAGCTAACCCCCATGGAATGCCTCACCCAGACCCATTGCCTCTAGGCACACAGTGAAAGCTCTTTATCAACATCTTCAAACACTGTAATCCCAGGAAGCGAGTAAGTTGATGGCGTGACACCTCGCCCACCCCAGCACTTACAGAAACACATCCTTCCGCCTACATCCGACTGGAAAGGGGGACAAGCGCCAAAGGAAAGCAACTGTCATCTTTGGTACAGCAATAAGATGTGTGCAGGAGTTGACAGCATTCATCTTCTCTTGAGTATGGCTTGATTAAATAGGAAGACCAGAGAAGCGCACAGAACCAGAAACGTGGATCTGACTGCATGTGTTCATGTCCACTGCTGGAGTTCACCATTCCATAACATATATGCACTTAAAAATATCATGCTGTAAAGAATAAATAAATGTACACCATTTTAACTTTCAACTTAAACATAAACACAGTTTTAAAAAAGCAGATCTGCCCATGCTGCAGAGCAGGGCAAGGCCAGCTTAGGAGATTATACCATATAAGGCTCTCCACACAGCTCCCAGGGGAGCCTGAGATAATTTGGCACCTCTTACCAAAGACCAACTGGATTGCTTTCAGGGCTTTGTTCACAAATAACCTCAAAGTCTGCTGTCTACATTTTCATCTAAACATTTGATGGAAAACCTAATACCACTCGAAGCATCCCAGGCCTCACAGACTCTTGAAAGAAGTACTTCAAAAAGCTAAAAGACAACCATCACCCAGAATGCTAACTCAGGACACCTAAAGATCTCCCCATGTTGCAATGTGGGCAGGCAGGGCGCTGAATTCAGAGATCCACTGAGATCTGCTTCTCTTCGTGCCAGAGATCAGCAAACACATTCTGCTATATTTGGGGGTCATGTAGTCTCAGTCACAAAGACTCAACACTATCTTTTTAGTGGAAAAGATTAGATAAAACATGAATGAATGGATTTGTCCCAGTCAAATCTTACTAAGGGACACTGATATGTGACTAATATTGTACACATGTAACATAAGCATTCTTTTGATTTTTTCCAACCATTTAAAAATGTGAAAACTATAGCTCTTAGGTAGTATAAAATGGACAGTGGGCCACATTTGATGAGTGGGTTCTAACTGGCTAACTCTGGAGTACACAGTAATGTACAGTAATTGCAAAGCACACAGCCCTAACCATTGGACTCACATAGATTGTTAAAGTTTATTTCTGTCACTTTAAGACTACATGACTGTATTAGTTTGTTTTTCCATTACTAGAACACAACACCTGAGGCTGTGTAACCTTATAAAGAGAAGAGGTTTAGTTAGCATCCATTTTCAGAATCTGGAAGTCCAAGGTGGTCTTATTGGTTTGGTCTCTGGTGAGGACCTACTAGAAAATGGCATCCCAACAAGAGTGTGAGAAGGAAGAGGTCACGTGGCGAGACAGGAAAACAGAGCAAAGAGAGGGGCCAGGCTTGCTCTTTTAATAATACTTTCAAGGCAACTAACACAGGATCCCTATGCTAGTTGGCTTCTCTGTTGCTGTACTAAAACACTGACCAAAACCAATCTGGGGAGGGAAGGGCTTATTTGTCTTGCCCTTCCACATCACAGTCCATCATTCAGAGATGTCTGGGCAGGAACTGAAGCCGTGACCACAATGGAAACCGGAGCACTGCTCACTGGCTTGCTCTCCATGGTTTGCTCAGCTTGCTTTTCAAATACAATGCAGGACCACCTGGCCATGGGCGGCACCACTCAAAGCAGGCTGGCCCCTCCCAGGTTAATTTGATGGAGCTGATTTCTCAATTGAGGCCCCGCCTCCCAGGTGACTCTAGTTTGTTTCAAATTGAGAAAAACCAACAAGCACAGAGCTTAACAGTTTCTTGATGAACGAACGGCTAGATGGATAAACAACTGCCCACATCAAGGAATGGGTGCAGAGTGGTCCCCAGGTGAATACAGTTTGACTACAATTCTGCTACGTTATGTATGATGGTGCCATAGCATAACCCTTACAGCCATTCTATTTTCTACGTCCTGTACCGTAGTCCAAAAATTACATGTGCTCTCCAATGCTTCAGTATCCGAGGCTCTAGCTTCAGTGATTTGGCCTAACTGTGAGCTACTATAAGTGGTCTAAACACACTCAAAGCAATCTAAGCCAACCTATGACATTCAGTAGGTTAGGCATTTTTACTCACAACATTTTCCACTTCACAATGTCATCACGATAGAGGCCCACCATAAGTCAAAGGGAAGCTCTTTCTGTCCCCATCTCTAGGGTTTACTATGTTGGAAAGTGTTGAACTTTTCACAGAAAGGGAGCCCTCCGTGAAAGTCTGTCTGGGGAGGCAGAAGGCAGTGGGCCAGCCCTGTCCGTTGGCCTCTTCTCGCCGCCTTCAACTACTTCTCCAGAGGGACGGTAGCCTGCCTACCACCTGCCTTGCTAAGGGACGAGGCACTTGCATAAACACAAGTTTGGGCCATTTGGGAGCCAAATTTCTATCTGCACATGGAGCCTCACGCAGAGGGTCATTGCTCCAGCTGCTAAGGTAAAAGAGAGGTTAGCCAGTGATTCAAGGCCCCTGTGCTGCACTGGGGGGAGCCATTCAGGTTTAGATCCACAGCATATGGTGCTCATCTACTCTCCAAAAGAGGCTGTAGGGATTCCTGGCGCACTGGTAATTCTTAGTTTCATCCTCTCCAAGGGCCTGGAGGGGGGGAAAGTCCATGCAGAAAACATGGAAAGGAAAATCATCCTGAGCTGACTTCAGCAGGCCTTGAACCACAGAAGGCACCCCAGGTGGATCAGGGGCTCCAGCCAAGCTGTCCCTGGATAAGGCCACTGCAAGCCCAAGCCGGGCTGATAGGGTGTTGGTTCCCCACCAGGAGAAAGGCAGGGAGATCCAAGGGAGTGCTGTGCTTGGCAGTGCAGGCCTTGTGCGATACTGAGCAAGAGGCTACGGGCTACGTGCGCACTCAAGAGTCCCTTAAAGGCTTCCAGCTTTCCTCCCGAGGAAGGCTTGACTTGGCACACACCACAAATGCTGTCGACCACATCAGAGCTGTTTCACAAAAGCATTCAGAAACTGGAAAATGTTAAGGACATTTGTGGGAACTAAGTTGGAGGCAAGCGCAAGCACAACATCATTTCCCCACCACCCAAGGAGCCACCTTCACAGGCCTTGGAGAAGCTGGAAGGGAGACCAGGGTCCTGGGAGCTTTTGCAGCAGGTCCCCGGAACCCAGGGGTCCTTCGGGAATCTGCACTGCAGAGTTCATTTGGAGCCTTGGGGCCCATGGCCTGCTGTGGGCCAACTGTGTCACGTCTTAGGGCGGCTAGTAGAACTCCTAGTCATAACGGCTGCCATTGCCTGGGTGTCCGCTGCAGCACACTCACCTCAGCAGGTCACTGTGTCACCACAGGCATTCACAGCGCCTCGCCAAGCCGCCTCTACTTCCCGGCCTGCAAGAGAGGGGTACTAGTGCTCAGTTCATCAAGTTGTGCTGAGACCCCATTAAGGCAATTGTGTGAGGCACCTCACCCTGTGCCTGGCCCAGGTTAGCTGAGTCAATAATCACTAACTGCTATTGTTACCTGTGAGGCCGAGCCAAAGATCAGGAGCAAAGGTAAAGCTCACAGTGACTTGAACTGTTTTCCTTTTCCCTCCCCCCCCACCCCCAACTACCTTTGGCTCTTTTTAAAAGATTTTATTAGGATATGACCCACATAATGTAAAATTCACCTTTCTACGGTGTACAACTGAGTGGGGCTCTGTACAAAATAATATATTTCAGTATGGTATTGCATGCGTGTGCATCACTGGACTCCTCTCCTGATCACATGCCCTCCACCTTTCCTTATCTCTCGCTCCGTCTTGCTGGTCTGCCTCGGTGGCCCAGACAGTCTCTGTTTGCTCTTACCTTGGTATGCAAGCGCAGACTTTCAAATCTTCTCCCAGCCGAGGCAGAGCGGGCAGATAAAGCACTCACGTGGTACGCAGCAGACGCTAATTATTCCCAGCTCTGTGTGCTTATCACAGCAGCGGCCAAGCAGACCACCTCCTCTTCCTCTGTACTTCCCATCTCCTTGACAACCAGCTTGGGGCCGGCTCCACGCAGGAGGCATGCTATTACAGCGAGGAGTACAGCTCGCACACGGTGGGTGGGAACGCAAATTAGCATATGCATGATGGAGAAAAGTGGGGAGGCAGTTCTCAAAAGTTTTGAAATTGACCTACCACATGATCCAGCAAGCCCGCTGCTGGGTATGTCAACGCAGAAAACAGAGCTCTCACCTTCAATGGAATGGGCAGAGTTTATTCTGGAGCTAAATTTGAGTGGCCATGACCGAGGAAGACAGAATTAGGTTACTACAAATTCCATGTTCCAATGTGGAATCAGTTTTATATTTCTACAGAACAAAGAAAGTCATAAGGCAAAGCGAGTTTAAAATACATCAGTGGTTACAGTGAGATGAATGGAGTTATTCTATAGGCCATGTCAAGACAGGGGAAGTTATCCTATAGGCCATGTCAAGACAGGGGAAGTTATCCTATAGGCCACGTCAAGACGGGGGGGGGGGAGTTATTCTATAGGCCACGTCAAGACGGGGGGGGGGGGAGTTATCCTATAGGCCACGTCAAGACGGGGGAAGTTATCCTATAGGCCTCAGATGCTGTCTGATGACATTCTAAGTTCTTGAGTTGGTGGAAGCTAGTGGTTGCCTAAGTTAATAGATTCTCAGAGGTTTTTGTTTTACAATTTATTTGTATTTTATATAAATTGGTGTTGTGCCTACATGTACGCCTGTGAGGGTATCAGAAGCCCTGGAGTCAAAGTTACAGACAGGTATGCACCACCATATTGGTGCTGGGAATTGAACCTGGGTCTTCTGGAAGAGCAGCCACTAATCTTAACTGCTGAGCCCCATTCTTCCCAGCCCCATTCTCAAAGATTTTTATCTTTTAGTCACATGTTAGTTGTGACACAGACCTGGAGAAGGAATGGCTATTTAGGGTGCTAAACCTATCCTGAGATAAGGTAATTAGCCTCTAGGCTTGCAACATTCCAACCTCCGCATACAACTGCAGTCTTTGCAGACACAGACAGGAATTCTTTCCAGGAATTCTCATGGGAAATTCTATACCCAAAGAAAAGGAAACAGCAAGCCAAACAGACAGCTGCCCTCCCATGCTTATCACACAGTGAAGAATTTTTGTTAAATATCTAAAATCTACCACAATGAAGATGTTATTACCTGAAAAATAATGTTATTAATTTAACAAAAAGGAGAGAAGCCTGGCAAGATTGTGCAGCTGGCAAAGGCCCTTTCCACCAAGCCTGAAGATTTGAGTTTGGTCCCTACACACACAGTAGAAGGAGAGAACCAAATCCACAAAGTTGTCCTCTGACCTTCACACATATACTGTGGCACATGCACCACCCCAACATGCAAAATAAAAAAATAAAATATATTAAAAGCTAAAAAAGGAGAGTCTGCAAAAGGCTACATTCGTGATTGTGTTTCTGTGACATTCTGGAAAAAGCAAGAGCTACAGAGACAAAAACAGGTCAGGCTGTCAGATTCATGAGGCCAGAGAGAGGGGTTAATTACAAAGGGGCATGGTGGAATGTTCTGGAGAGTTGTAAATGTTCCATATTGTCACCATGGGACATGTCTGCAGACACAGAACTCTGCGTTGGAGGGATTACCTCTGTTGTTTGCCAATCGGACTTCAATAAGCCTTTCCAAAGAGTTTCTCTGCCTCATTTCTCCGGTTCTGTTTGCTCTTGAGAAGAAGACAACGAGCCTAGGAAGATGGAACTTTTGGAGGGGATGGTCCAGAAAGGCAGGTGAAAAACAAAGTGATAGGAGAAACTTTTATGGTCCTGCTGGCCTCTTGAAGTTGAGCCACACACACAGCTAGGACTGGAGTTCGGGTTTTTGTTCTTTTGTTCCTTTTTTTTTTTTTTTTTAAAAAGTAGCTGGAGACCAAGGTTTATGTGAAAAACATAGCTCCCCTTGTTATTTAATGAGGTGATTTTAGTATGAATTCAAGAACATGATTTACAACTCAAGTGATATCTTTAGGAAACATTTACATCTGTAACACCACCTCATAAAACTTTTTATTGGAATCATTGCTTATAAGGTTAAAGCAGACTGTCAAAATATTCCCCCTTGGACCAGACCCAATACTAATTGATAATTTATCATTACTCTTGACAGTATTGTATCTAAGCTAATCAGATGAGGAATAGGAAAAAGGGAAATCTAATTGTCATGACATTCTTTACAAATGCTGGAGTTTTCACTTACAAGAAAAATAACCCAAAGACTTACTCACCTTGGTATTTTCAGTACCTAGAGTGGACAGGCGCTCTAAGTCTGTTCAAGAAATGAAGGAGGAAGGGAAGGGAGAGACAGAGGGTGCTAATCAAGCCATTGATCGCCTATGAAAGACAAGAGGTTTGAATCCAACTACTGGCATGCCTGCCAATGGGCCAGGAAAAGTATAGTGTAATAAGAGAAAATGGATGGTTCCATCATTACACAGAAAACCCAGTTTTGTCATGGTCTGTAACTATTGGCCTACTGTCAACTTGAGGCAGCCATCTTGAGAATGAGATGTGGACCATCTGGAACAGCCAAGAATATAGCATGGCCAACTCCCCCATACTGCGGTAGAGTTTAGACTCAGGAAGAAAACACTTTAATCTTCTCGACGTCTCCCCTTGATGGCCTTTTCAGGTTAGGATTGGTAGTAGTCCAAGAATATCTTGAGTGGAGAAATGGGGAGTGGTTTAATTCCTTAGTATCCCTAGGGGATACATATCTAACTGCCATCTATTGGGAAAGGCTAAAATAAGGCAACAAAGTTGTCTTCCTAGGTAAAGGGCTTAGTTTATGAGGTTTCAGTCCTCAATTTTTAGGTGAAGGAATAAAATCCTCTCTAGAAAGGAATATGGTCATGGTTTAACATAGAAGCAATTTTAAGAAATGTCACTCAAGACAAACATTATACATATGTATGTGTATGTACATGTATGCAGGAACACATACATGCATGTGAGCATGTGAGCGTGCGCGCGCACACACACACACACACACACACACACACACACACACACACACACACACACCTACCTCTCTGTAGATCATCTTTTCCTCAAGGTAGTTTTAAATGAATTTTCCCAACTGCTCTGGAGGCAACAAAGTTTGGAAACATTGGCGAGTGAGCTGGTGACTCACACCTCAGATGAATTAATAAAATTTGAGAAAACAAAAACCAGATGTTTCCTTCATCTTAATATAGGCCTCTATGTTTTTTTTTTTAAATAAGCTATATACTGTCGTTTACTGATTTTCCTCTATTGAGACGCAAAAAAATCAATTTTTAAAGCATTGAATCCAGGCATGTTTGATGAAATCTCTCCCACCAGTTGCTATTTGGCTCAGTTTCCCTAAAGTGTCAGCTTTGATTCTGATGACTGAAGCTGGTGAATGGCACAGGGTATCTGAGCACAGCACACCCCAGGGCTTTGGTCACCCACTGATGTGCTAGAAACTGTTCCAACAGTCTTTGGGGAAGGTGAAAAGGCAAGGAGTTTCAGCTTGCATCTAAATCTCCACAGAACCAGAAAGGGTCTAGCCAACCAGCTGTGGCTTCCTTTCCACGTCCAATATTCATTCTTTGGCCCTTGACCCTCTTGGAAAATACTAAGAACTGCATTCAACAGAACCCACCACATATATTTTATTCTCCTGGCCAAGACCAGTGATGGATTCACTAAGATCCAGACTGACACACTTTGAAAAGTTTCCTAATAACACCACCCATCATTCCTGAGAACTTTTGAAGCTCCGTTGCTTCGAAGGAGGGGAATAATTTATTTTTTCCTCCATCCATTGTACTCTGGTTAAATCAATTATTTTTCCCAGGCACCACCCAGAGGAAAAGCTCCAGATGTTCCTACGTTATAATGGAGAAGAGCTTCCAAATCTTGGTGGTATTCAAGCTTGTATTCTTTCCCAACCTCGTTTGGGGCCCTTGTCCCTTTCTCTTCTTTCATGTTCCTATTTTAATTTTAATTAACATCATAATCGTACATACTTCTGGGGCAGTGTGATATTTCAATACATGAAAAGAGTATATGGCGATAAAATCAGGGCAAATCATACTTTCATCTCCTTATTTTCTCTGTTGGAGTCTTTAAACTCCTCCTTTGTATATTTGTGAAAACCACATAATGGCCTATTATAAATTAAAGTCACCCTATTGTGCTGCAGAACACTAAAATGTATTCTTCCTATTTGTGTTTACTATTAGCCGACTTCCTTCTATGTCCCCTTCTCCCATCTTTCTTTGTTTGGTCTCTAATAATCACTATTCTATTCTCTTCTACTTTTAAATTGATGTTTTAAGCTTCCACAATGAGACACAGCATGTAGCACGTGTGTGTATATGTGTGTGACCCAGAAGCAAATTTGTTTTTACTGGCACATCTCACAATCTCTTAGTCTAAATATTTAGTTTTTTTAAAATTCTAGTTACTGACTTGTCTTCCATCCATTGTGCCCAAATCTGATTGCTTAGAACATGGGGATAACAACTCTCCCCCCAACTTAATCATCACATTTGGAAATTGGTAAATTTTTATTTTATATATGCTTTGCCTGAATGTATGTGTCTCATGTGTGTACCCTCAGAGGCCAGAAGAAAGCATCAGATTCCCAGATACTGGACTTATGGACAGTTGGAGGAGCCATGTGGGTCCTGGGACCTGAACCAGGGTTCTCTGCAAGAGCAACAACCACTGACCCATCTCTCCATAATTACAGACACATCTCTCCAGCCTCAACTCTTTTATTTAGTCTACAACTACTCTTGAGTCTACATAGTAAATGCTCCCTGATCTACCTTCCCTCTTTGTCCACAGTGACACTTCTCTGGTCCATACTACCATACACTCTCTCACTGACCAAGCTTTCTATTCATTATTTCTATGTCCATTCTTGCCCCTATCCAGATAGCCATAGCTACAAGGAGTGATCTTTCTAAAACGACGTTTGATTTGGTCCCCTGTATACTGCCACTTTCAAGGGATGCAGTGGACATGGTAGCTTATGGAAATCCCTTACATCAGCCGGTGACATGGACATGGTAGTGACAGAAGTGGCAGGCCTTCTCCAGTGTACACCGCCATCCTTTCCCAGAGTAGGAATCTATCACAGGAACTTTCCTCCATCATGGCCCTATTGGGCTATATCACAGTTGTCAATATGACTCCTAATCTTCTCTACCCAACTGTCTAGGACCGGTTCAGTTCTTCCTGTGCCCTAGTACCACGCACAATGCCTGGCACAAGCTAGACAGACATTCTGAACGAGACAGTAACAGAAACAATGTTCCTTCCCTCATAGGCAGTCTGTTCACTTCCTATTGCTGCCATAACAAATTCCCACAAGCTCAATGGCTTAAAACAACACCCACTTGTCACCTCACAGCTTGGTAGGTCAACAGTCTGACAGGGCTCTCACTGGGCTAACTTCACTGTGTCAGCAGGCTGCGGCATGCTCTGGCTTCCAGAGGCCCCCTTCCTTTC